GAGAAAAAGGAGCACAATTATCTCAAACAGTCATCCCGTAGGATGAGTCATCAATGGGAGCTGTCATCGATTGGTTTCGTAAGACTGGTGCCGTGGACGGCAGTCGAGTGGTGCCGTAGACGGCGGTCGAGTGCCGTACACGGCACCTAGTATGAATGCGGCCACTGTCTTTTACGGCTACACAAAGACCAAGGAAAGAGAGTAAATGAAACCTCCAAGCTAAGCCTGTTATATGTAGTTAGGATATTATTCCCAGATATTCATCACCACGGAGTCCGGCAAGGCAAGGTGTGGACGGCTTTTAATTTCATAGATATTTAATCATCACCCTCACATTTTGACAGTAAAAACGACGGCATGAACGCGAAGGGCAGGGAAAATGATCAAAGTAAGAAGAAGAGTGAAGGAGCAGAAAGAAAGTGTACGGAAAAACATAATAAGACTTAATCTATGCAAGAGTTCAGTAGTCAATCCATCGTAGAGCGCAATTTCCGATGGTCGGCAATCACTGTGTAATAACGTGCTCCAGTGCAAAAGCCGCGACCCCCTTCAATTAAGAGTGCAAAGTTTTGGCCTTAAGTTTTTCCTCTATTTCAGAGTGCTAGTCGCAGGTTAAGGGAAATGGTCACTACCGCACGTCCATCGTGGATCAGCGATGTTGTATGCCGCTTGTGGGAAGATCGAGGATCGGTGTTTGATCTGTCATCACAGTTGCGAGAGGAGCTAAGCTCGATAAAACCGAAATCCGATGAACTCAGGCTCTTAGCGCGTGAGGCTTTCCCCTTAAAGCGTTTTTATGTGATTTTCTTGGAGGAGAAGAGCTTTACTTTGCTTCCTCAGCCGGTTTTCTGTGATTATTTTAGCAGTTGATGAATACTTTTCAGAAGAGTTTTTCCAAGCTGCTACAATGACTTCATATCCAGACCATAGGATGCTGGAATGTGTCAAAATGCTGAGCCATTCAGAGGTAAATGTTATATTCAGCTGAAATTTTCATAATTGTTATGGTCAAGAGTGTTCTTTCAAGCTTATCTCCTGGATAGACCTTCTCAGAACCATCACGGGGTTCACGCAGTTCCAAAGGTCTCGTTGTGTTGTGGCCTTATGCGGCATGTTGGAGTCAGAGCTTCCACATTTGCAGTGAGACTTTTCGATATCACGAATGAGGCTTACAAAAGATTGACTCCTCCATGAGGTTACTGCTTTAGGTGCTCATTCTCCCATATCAGCGAGTGCCTTGCATTGACTGAAGCAATTATTGACGTATTTGTATGGATTGTTGAGGCAATACAGGTCAACCACTTTCTTTCTTTCTGGATTCCCAAGACGTATGCGTCATTTGCTAAGTCTTCATATTGCAGGCATATCGTGATTTGGACGATTTTGAAGTGATCGATGTGGAGGGCGTGTTATTTCAAACATTTTCTTCTTTTCTCAATGACCCATTTGTCTTCCGACTTATGTGCCTTGCTACAAAAAAATATGCTGGTACGTCAACCATGTCGGACGTTCTTCTACTTATTTTCTTTCCATGTTTGAGTTATGAGCTTCTCAATTTAATGGTCTCCTTAAGCTGTAATCAAGTCGTCGATTGTAAACAAACTATATGACCTCCGTTATCAAGACGGTACCAGTGTAATATTGAATTACGAAGAATTGCAGAATTCATTTCTAAGGTATTTTCTTTTCAAGGAATGTTTTTTCCTAGATGAGTTCAGAAGTTCACACTAAACAACACAATAATCTACTGGCTTTCGCATGCAGCCGTGTGCTAATAGAGAATTTATGACTTCAGTAGGTAGCCTTTCGCCTAGCGGAAATTGAAGTCTGATGGCAGTATTCCTATACTGATGGAACTCATTGACCGCCTATGGCTTTCTGCGTGGAACTTCATTGTTTTGGTATCGATCAAAATCACATAAATCCTACCCATTCCATCACTTTCGACAAATTTGGAAGAAGCTCTTTCCACCGCCGATCTCTTTGCTTCTCGAACCTTTCCAAGCCCTTTTTGGATCTTGACCTCGAGAAGGTGCCGTCTTCGCCTTGTTCATCCCCAAGGCTACTACCCACTTCCATTACTCCTGCTCCGTCGTGGAATCAAGAATTAACAAACTAGCTTCTTCGTGACTGACCTTTACCGATCTTCGCTAGGCTTAGGGCATTTTCAGAGTTTTCGTGAATCTTTTTGTATTGTTCTGCTCGTATGATGTTCGCCCGCATAGCAGGAGGGGCCTCCAATGCCATACTCACGAGCGCATTGATGATATATGTATATGCAATGCGAGACAAATTATTGTTTTGAATGTTTTAATCTTTCGACTCGACGCCGTTATACTTCTTCCTTAACCCTATGTTTTGAGCAGCTTTTTCCGCTATTTAGCTGCCTCTCGTTAAGTTTATGTCGCAAGGCGCGGAGCGAGGTTAGGAGAGCGCTTTCATAGCTTTATTCGGGTGGTTGGTGAAGCATTTCGCTGTTTTGAAGTGGTTGAAAAAGTTCAGTGAAAATGCCTGCTTCTGTGAAAATCACGTATCTCAATTTGGAAAGGCGTGATGTGAATAGTATACAATATTTACCATACTATCATCTGGCTACTCACACTCACTTCTACTTTCTAGGATTTTCGACCCACCCAAACTTGAGAGCTCTGAGCTTAGTGTGAAATACAATTTCGTAAGTGTTGCGGTCATTTACAGTTCCAGCCATTTCGGATCCTTCTTTAGCTGTTGCTTTGCAGCGTCGATCTGGTATTCGCTCTTTAACTGCAGTATTTTCGTGCTTCCGCGTTCTGGCCGCAGTGGAAGAGGTATTTTCTTGCTTGATTGCTGCTTACTCTCTTTTATCTCGTGTGTTATTCAGGTAGCCGATACTATGCTCCTTTTTGGACAGATTAACGCCATAAGTCATCATGAAATTGTATCAGATATGTTACATGCGTCTTTTATGATATTGGTAGGAATGATATCTAACAGTTTTTTATCGTATGATTTATTTGCTAGTAACGCTGTACCAACATTTTAGTTGGAAGAACAAGAAACTCGTGACAGTTGCAAGTCATCAATAGAAATGTTTTTCTATGTGAAAATGCCTCGTGTCTGGGCCGCAATGATAAGGCTGGGTATGAAGCCGGAAAGCGTCGTCAGGGGTGTGCAACACATGCTCACAGAATGTAGACAGGTAGTAGTTTGTCTTTTCGCCTAGTTACTTTAGTTCATTAAAACTATTAGGAATTATGAAATATGCTGAATCTTGAATGCTTGGTCCAGTTAGTCTTTGTCACTTCGGGTATTGTTCAATGCTCTCATCCCTTCTTCCCCCTCTTCCAGCGTTGTGGCTGAAGAACGCTCTAAGTACTAACCCTCTTCCTTGCAGTTCATTCCTGTTTTTTTTTCTTTATTTTTTTACATTACTTTATTCTTTCGCAGTCCTTTCATTTGCCTCTTCCGAATTCTTTCTTTTTCGGAAATGGTGTTTCTTCGATTCATTAATGCTTTTAAGTCGCTGTAAGTCAATGAATATGTAGATTTTCAAACGCATACGGTTAGGTCTAACAAGCAGCTAACTCCGTCTGCCTGTCCTTTTATTCGAATTTTTGATTGCCTAACTCCTGTATACAACGNNGTTCGTTAAATTTTCAGAGACTATTTCTTAGAAATTCGTATCTACACTACATACTACTGCGTTTCAGATATCTCACATTCTCCCCTTTCTCTTCAAAAGAGGTCCTATATTTTAATGATGAACATTCTAACTTGCTTCGTCCGGAATTGCTTGACTTTTGATGTTATCAGTATTCCTACAGTAATTGCTCCCAGAAACATTTGTATCAATCCTGGTCTTTTTTCATCTTCCGAAGTAGAGATCATACCACTACCCGTAGCTTTTTAACTGTTCAATCGTTATCGTGCTTTATCTATCCGGTATATGCTGCGCTATTATTCCTTCAATCCCTCCGTGGTCGGGGTCGGTGATTATCAAGCAAACTGCCTGGAAAGATGAAAGCTCAGTCTTGTTGATCGGCTGGCCCTCGCTCGCCTTGTGAAGGACGAATCGCAGGCTATTCAAAAAACAGATCTGAGTGCAAGTCGCTTGCGTGGACCCATTCAAAACGGGTTCTATCAAAATGATGCTCAGAATCTACGTGATTTATGCCTCGCATATTATCTGCCATTCCCTTTATCCTAACAGTGTCTTTCCGACACCGTTATTCATTTAACTAAATTTATTTAATTTGATGGATCATTCATTGAATATGAAGAAGGCAGCATCATAATCTTCTGCTATTCCCCATATCATCGTATAACATATCTCGCAGTTGCGCGCTTGAGGCTCTGGAATCTGTACGTGGGTAATCATTAGTGGGTGTAGCATCAACGTTGTCTTTCGCGCCTCCTCTTTGTTTAGTGAATTTTCAGAAACAGAGAGATTGAAAGACTAGTTGCGCCTACCACTCGTTTCTAGTGTTTTCATTTCGCATCTGTTCAATACTGTAGCGTTTGCGCGACCGTAAATGTACTTCCTTTTCAGGTCATTGATAATGTGGATTCCATTGTTAAGGACAACACAATTCGAGCAATAGTGCGGCAGCTTATATCAGAAAGGGTAATGTCTGATGCAGATGGAGAGCTTCTAATTGCACAAAGGTCACTGTTTATGTTGGTAATGTCCAGACATTAGCCTAATTTGTCTCTTCTATAGAAACGAACAACTGAAAATGATACAAGGGCTCGCATGTTTGACAAGGGACGATGTTCAACGGCAAACCCAAGTAGCTGTCGTTCTGAGTGCTGTGCAGGCAAGGCATGTGATTGACAAACTGTGGAACATGCAGGTGTGAGAGAAATATGCATCGTTGTGATACGCCTACTTCTTATGGCGTCACTTATAGGAAAAATTGATGACTGTTCTTACACGGCTTATTGGAAGTGGAGGCTACGCCTTCGATGCCTTTTGCTCTTCTTATGGGTTAGAAGGTACACTAGGTGAAATGAGCAGTAGATTAGCAAGGTATGTACTACTACTGTACTAAAGCATTTTCTTACGGGTCCATAGTTGATCTCCTAGTCTCGCTGTTTCATTTTCAGCTTAAACCTGTTATCGGAATCCCCTTCAAATGTGTGTGTTGATAGAAACATGACCTTCGACCTGACTTTTACGATGCTAACAAGAATAGTCTACAAATACAGCAATCTTGTACGTTAAACTTTTATCGTGTTATATTTATATAGCATAGTATGTGCAAATACGCATATTTATTAACTTTTTTCTTGAAGTTTGATATACAGTGAAGTGTTCAATTCAGACTCTTGATGAATTGGTAACAGATCCGAGGGGTGGCCCGGACAATACAGCGTGTGCTTTGTAAGTAGTTGTCGTCTGTACTAGTATGGAAATTGTCGGTCTCGTTTCTTCCGAAAATACGTTTGCAGCTACCAATGGTCATCTCGATACGTGAAGCGAATATCTTCTAATGGACAGGAATCTTTTGAAAGGGACACCCCCCTTGTTCCGCCTGAACTGAAAGCCGCCTACAAAGAAAGAGTTCTTCGACTGAAAGAGCGCCAGCTGTTCTGGGATCCTGTAGTGTATGTTTTTCCTGGTTAATTAGTTTTAATTAGTTAGTTTTTGATTCTAATTTCTGTACTATACCCTGTATCCGAAGTTTTCATTCCTGTGGAAGAAGATTCGTTGGTTCATTATTGAACGGTTGAATTAATGCAAATACGGAGGTGCATCATCGAAATTGTGCTGCAAATTTGAAATCGTCGGAATTGCTTAGGTGCAATTACGGGAAGCTGTTACATGAAATGCCGATTGTTGGAGAAGTTATCCTGGATTTCTTCAAAGACAGAAAACATATTGAGGAAGATGTCTCAGTTGGTTTAACCTCAATTTTGCTTTTCATTTAGACTGGTGTAAGACCATCTTTTGAATTATTTCAGCGCATCTTCGCTGCATTCCGCAAAGCCAATTGCCTGCTTGTTTGCATAATTCAATGGTTGGAATGTCAGGTGAATGCTTGATCTCTTTTGGTTTTGATAGCGGATATCCCAAGTATTATGTTGGCAAAGCATGTAGTCCGCAGCTTTTTTTCTGTGAATTGCTATCGTGCTGTGATTGCATTGCATTAATTTTGATTTCGTCGAGTTTACTGACTGACTGAATTTAGTTTACTGACTTTGTAATGTTGCATTGCAACACTAAAAAGTGAATTTAAGGCAAATGCTATGAATTGCATAGAATAGATTGAAAATACTATGGTTCTTTCTTTTCACATACGTACAGATCTACTATAACGTATTTCGTCTTGCGCCTTTTTTTTCTGAACCATAGAAAATTATGTGTGCCAAAACCTATAGTCTTCTTCTGTCTAGCGTTAATAACGCACCGTTGCAAGGTTCTATCTGCGGCGGTGTGGTTCTTCAGGATAACGACTTGCCACCTCTGCTCTGGAGCTCCTTGTGGTCACTTCCGTTTAGCCTCAGATCCCATTGCCCCTATTGCTTAAGCGCCCAAACGCCTTCGTTTCTGATCCTGTGCAGTCGCGTCCAATCGCAGGCTCAATGGAATGGGGCTTCATCCCATGACTTTTATCAAGGGCCAGAACTCGCTGAGAGAGTCGTGGGGCTCACCACTGCTCGGTACACTTTTCTCTGGACCGTCCTGAAGCCTTGGTCTTTTTCGCGAAGAGTCTAGCCCATTCTCTATCACCGCCTTCTGCAGCTTATTTTCAGTTTGTCTTTGCTCTCCGCTATCAGGGCGATATCATCAGTGTAGAGCTTGTACCCAGCCGTGCAGCTTGCTGCCTTTTTCAAGCCGTGAAGGGTGCCTGTGACCGCCTGGGACCTACCGCATATCTTGTTAACGAGGTAGACCAGGTGTTTAGGGACGTTTTCTTTCTCAGAGCGCTCTCCAGCACATTTGTCGCGGGAGGCGATCCAAAATCCTCTCCAGATCGAGAAGGGCCTCGTAGCGGGCCTATGTTTTTCTTGGTGTTTCTTCATAGCTTGTCTTGCTTTGAAAATGGCATCTGTCATAGAATTCTCTGGTGCTTCGGTCAGATCTTAACAAGTTCCCTCAATTTTGAGTCGACGAACCGCTCGTACAGTTACATCGTGCGAGCGGTCAAGTGGCTCCACGGTAGTTGAACAAACCCTCATATCCGCCTTATGTTTGAAGATGGGGTCGATAGTACTGCTCCTCCACGCGTTCGGTATCCTTCATTTAAGGGCCACAGTGTTCAGGAACGGGTGAGTCACCTGATTCCGTGCTCTTCAGGCCTTCCATGCCTCAAACGGTACCCGTCCAGCCCAAATGCTTTCATCTTCACGACGGCTTGACATAGAAATTCTTCTTCTTTCCAACTGCTCGAAATACTTCGTCTTCTGTCCAGAGTGCAATGAACCTGCCGTCGCTTCCACCATGAGCTCTCCTCACGGTGGAATTCTTTACTTGGCAGCCTCTCCTTGTATTATACTCTTTTCACCTACACCAGATCTTACGAGGCTGCCTCAGAATCATACCGACACTGTGTTTCACAGCTCTCACTACTCTAGTGCCTTGTGTAGCCCGGTGCCATACTTTGTCAAGCCGGGAGACGAATTTCTTTCTTTTACGACCATCGCGCTACTTGTACAAGGGCGTCCCCTTCCTTATTCTTTTGACCCGATGACTTGTTAACGGCTGTTATTTTGCCGTAGTGGGCGGTGGGAAAGTCTCACAAGGTTGACATATCCCTTGTGCTAAATGTGTTGATTATAGTTCTGGATAGGAAGCTTAAAGCTTAATCGTCTAATGCTAATTTTGTTCTACCGGCCCACCACGTTGTACATATGAAGCTACGGCATGAGAACCATCAAGAAGGCAAGGACAAGCGGGGTTCCGGTTGTGTAAGGGATGAATAACCGGAGCCCGGTTAGTACAAGTACCGTCAGAGACCAGAGTTTGGTCCATAACGTGGCTGCCTTGTGAGACATTTCCATACGCTTGCTTTGAGCCTCTTGCAACCTCTGTTGGCAGCTAGTTCTCCTAGAGCTGGCGTCTTTAGCCAGCACTTGTAGGCTGTTTTTTTTTCTCCAGTTAACGAGACTTCGTCATTCCAGAACCACGCTTTCTCGTCCTCTCGAAATTCTCCTCGAGTCTCCGCCAGCTTTCAGCCCTCCCCCCCNCCACTTTCCCTAAAGTGACTTTCACGGTTCGCTCCAGGTCTGCTGGATCGGTCTTTCGGCATTTAGGAGACCATCCTCCAGCATCTTCCATTTGTGACCTTATTTTTCGACTAAATGCAGCTTCCACCCCTCCGCTCCTTGACTTCTCGGGAAGATCGATAGCTATGTCTGTTAGATGAGCCCTGAGCTGCAAAGCCGATTCTTAGCCAGGAAGTACCTTGATACCCTTCGCAGTTTCGAGGGACAATCTTCTCACGAGCACATGGTCTAATTCCTTTTGTCTCCGCCCACTGCTATAGGTAACCTCCTGAGCCACTCTTTTCACGAAAAACGTGTACGGCCAGTTTGGTCGCTGGCCGCGGTTAGGTCGAAGACCCTCTCTCCTTTTCGCTTCCATCTCCTGTTCCTATACCTGGTGAACCCTTTCTAGGCCCCTCTTTTCACTGCTGGCTTACCGTTCAGACCACCCGCTAAGGTGAGATAGCCTTCTTCTAGAACTGATCTCATGGCATTGTCGAGACTCACTTAGAACTAATCTTTATCGCACTCGGAATAGCCGGGTTATGTTGGGTGCACGGATATTATTGTCCAGTAGCCCTCTTTCAAGTCTATTCTCAGAGCTATTATACGAACGCTGATAGCGGAGACAGAGTTTCAAGGCTCCGCGACTGCGATGGCCACACCGTTTCGTTTGGTGTTTCTCAGTCATAGTAGTGCTTGACACCTTCCCCGATTTCTCTCGCTTTTGCACCTTTCCAGCGTGTCTTCTAAAATCTTAGGACTTGCACGTCTCTGCGCTTTATTACATCAGCTATCTCTGGAGACTTCCCAGTTAGAGATCCTATTTTAACTGTCCCTAGTCGTACTCACTTCCTTGGCCGAGGTGGTTCACTCCTAGATGCAAGTGTCACAGTCCCGTGTGTCCATTGAACAGTCCTGTGTACCTCTCTGCTTCAACCTAGCTTTTACACTGATTCCTTTGCGTATCTCGACAAGTTTGTGTGACAATGTTTCTCCAACAGCTGGCCTGTCACTCTGTGACTGCACTTGTACTGACATATTTAGCATTTTTTAGGATGTGGGACATNAGTCACGATTGACATTCCTTCGAGCCGAGGTGCGAAGTGACCTCAATCGTAACTAACCTCATCTTACTTATAAGAGTGATGGCGAATGATGAGATTGGTGAGAAAATGAAACTTCATAAAATTAGTATTTCAACGTATAATCTTCATGGTCTTTGGTTTAAAGAGTTTTATTACCATGCAAGATGATAGAAATTTCAACAAAAAATTCCAATAAAATGTAAAGAAGCCTAATTCTTCTAATAAGGAGCATCTCAAAAGTAATATTTAAACAACTCAAATGGTCTTGTTCGTTACGAATTTGGACATCTTTATGCAAGACCCCTCCATTTGGATGCGATTTGCTCCTCTCCGGTGAACTTCGTTGAAGCGATTGGGAAGGTGCAGATTAGATAGTACAAGGGTTGCGGTGCGGGTTGGAGCGGTTGGGTAGGTGCAAAAGTATTCTAGAGCGAAGGCTAAGGCTTAAGCAAGGTTTCTTTTCTATAGTGATCACTTACCCACCAGGCTAAATGGTAAAGAATAGTCTCTTCAATGTGCCGAATTCAGCCGGGAGTTTAAAAAAATTCCGTGAGAAGTGTGAAAAAGCCTAACCAGCCGGAGGGTGTTCAACGACCTTTCAAAGACGAGATACCCTAATATCAAACATAATAACATAACATAATATCAATAATTCTGAAAATGTTGTTTGATATCACAGATGAGTTGAAATTCAAAAAAAGAACGTTTTTTAGATCTTACACGAACTTCATTTTATGACCATCAAATTTTTTCATTCTATGTGGTAATAAAAGTCATTAAACCAAAGACCATGTAAATCGTACGTTGGAAAACTAATTTTCTTGGAGTTTCATTTTCTCGTCATTCTCATCGTTCGCCATCACTCTCATAAGTGAGATGAGGTTAGTAACGATCGAGGGGAGGCGCGTATTTAAGATGAGGTTAGTTACGATTGAGGTCACTTCGCACCTCCGCTCGAAGTAATGACAGTCGTGACTAACGTCGCAAACCCTTTTTTATGAGGTATGGTTTTTGCCTCGGCAGGATTCGAGCTCGCGCTCTTTCTGAGTGACCAGACGTAAACCTACGCTCTTATCTATTCGGCCATCTCTGCCACTCTGCTGGAGCTTATGATGCAGAATTTTTTTATCAGATAGATGAACGCCTTTGAACTATTTCTCAACTACATGGCCACTTTGCTTGCCATTGCGCTGAAGTGAGCAGAATTAGGGTTTAAGGTTTGAGAAAATGGTTTTGCAGGTCATTCCTGAGTGTTCGAAATTTCCTATACTTTACGGACCTGTGTTGCTTTTGTCCGATAGCCACATGAATCCCTGTTTTTGCTTCCAGACTTTGCTGCAAATATAACTTTGCTTACGTTGTATTAATTTTTTGTCTTTCAAAAGAGTAGGTAACAAAAAAATGATTCGTTCTATTCATGCAGCCTTCCTCTGAAGCACGTCGTCAGATGGCTCGTTGCATCAGAATGGTTTTGGAAGAGTGCGTACCGGACGAGAAAGAGGAGAAAGACAGGCATGTGGAAACCTTTATTTCTATTTTAGGGTACACTTTTGCGAACAGAGTAGGCCCAGCAAAAATTTGAAGTGGAGCATGGAATTCATCATGTTTGCGAGAGAAGAGATGATAATTTATGCTTTTCTTTCCTAAATTCTCATTCGTTCACCAGATGCAGTAAGGAGGCTGTAGTCATTGTAAACAAACTTTTCCTTCTTTTGTAATGCAATCTTGTAGGTGTATAATAAATAAATAAATAAATAAATAAATAAATAAAAAATCTTGTGCGCTTTCCAATTTAGCGGAGAAAGAGTTCTTTTATATCCGTTCCTTGACCTCCACAGCAAACGAACTGTGCGTGTTGTATAATGTTTGCTGAGTGATTATCTTCGCTTAGATGGCTATTCACACGCATGGTCTGCCGAAGACAGCTGGAAGAAATGTGCGAGTGCGATTCAATCATTCCACCAATGACCATTACCTTAATGGCTATTGCAAAGAGATCGTTCCCGATTCTGCATAGAAGACAAGTAGTGTTCAACTTTTTTCTAGTGCCTCACTAACTGCTCACTATCCACTTATTTAAGGTCCCAGATAAGGAGATGTTGAAGAAAGCATGGTTATATGCGCAGAGGCAAAACTGGGCAGGTCCCAATGTCTTACATCTCATTGATCACTGCAACAGAGCAGGAGCGCACAAGTCGTGGTTTGAGGTATTTTTTGAAGCTAGACTTGAGTTTCATATTAGAAGTATAGAAAGTTTGTTGATTTTTGTGAAGTCGTACTAAATATTAGAATTTGTATTGTTTTCGCTAGCTTCTTTTATTTTCGTAATTCGTGAGGCAGATGTTATTGCAAGGGTTACGAGCAAAACTCTTGGTTCTTATGTGAGACGAATCTTATCCTATGAGTTCCCTTCCTCTGTTCTTTTCTCCGTTATGCTACCGCGACCTCACAACCTCTCGCCCAGTTTTTCAGTGGCAACTTTCTCCTGACTTATCAGCGTTCACACTTCAAGTTTTAGTATTGAAGAGGCTATGACAGCAATGACCCATGAAGCTATAAGCTTTGATTATTACGAGATTTAAATTGCTTTTGTTCACAACTGAAGGCCTGTGTCGGATTAAAGTTCTTTTGAAGGTCGAACGTTTTCCGATAGCAGAGAATCCTTGTGATAACATTGTGCTGAATGCTGCCTTTTTTGTGAAGATGTAGGCTATTTAGGGGCTACCGAGTTTTAATCCATCACGTTTGAAAAAAGGGAAAAGTATAGAAGGTAAGAGGAAGTAATTGCAAAATTCATTAGCAAATGAAATTAATAGGAGGGAAAGGAAATAGAAAGTGATCCAAACGGTAACAAATTCTAAAAGCAGCTAGAAACCTACAGTAAGCATAAGCATCATCAGTCAGTTCCTAATTTGTAGATTATGGTGCCGAGGCTTGGGCCGAAACTACTTATTTCCAGGCTCTTGAATAATTTTGGACTGGGTTGTGGGTTATTAGATTTATTTTTGCTCGTTGGTGAGGTGGGTTTGGGATTTAGGTGAGCTCGTTTTGTTGGGCATTCTTGGTACGCACACAATAGGTCTTATTATTTTTGCATAATTCGGCTCCCTGGCTGTTCTGGAATCGAGTTATGGATTCATTTGATAAGTAATGATTTTTTCTAGAACGCTCCTAACAGCGCGAACAACACTTCTCTTTCTCATCGGTCAACCCACTCCTCATACTGCCAATTTTTTTTCAATAAGCTGTGTTTTTGTTGGCTGTTCCAAGCCCCAGCCCATAGAGCTCATCTTGTCCCTAAAGAGAAGCTCCGCATATGCTTTGCACTTCTTACCCCATGCCCTACTCGTACCAACTTGGCAAGACCTCTTCAGGTGTTGCTCATAAAAGGAGGTTTTGAAACAGAAGCAAATAGACATAAAGCATCTTTTCAGGTTGTTGCATAAGTAGTTCATTTTTGTCCAACTCATATTTTTTCCAGTGGAGTTCTGTCTTTTCATTCTATGCCGTATTCCTCTTGTGAAGTCCAAAATGATATGATATAANAAAAAAATTATGTTTTGGGTTGAATTTCTCAGGCTCGCAAAGGGTGGGGGTTGTGTCGACAAGAATTAACCGGGTCGACAATTCATTACTTCTCTTTTTTTCCACAGGGAGAACATGAGTGATGTGCTATCCACTTGGTCACGACTTCTCAACATTATATTACTGCGTTGTTCAGCAAGCCCAAATCTCTTCAAATTTGGTTCTCCATCAGGGCGTAAAACCAGGAAACCTTTTTGAACCAGTCGTCTTCCTCTCAGTTTATGTATATTGTCATGATTTTGTCTGCACTTCGGGTGCTATTTCTAAATTGCTCAAATACATGCCTCGCTTTGAGTTTGATTTGTTTCGACCAAATTTCACCTTGCATATTGTAGAGCGCCGAGTCAAAACACTTCTGTCAAGTTCTGCTTCTCATCTTAAAATAAGATGCCAACGCCATAAAGTTGCTCGTTCTACTAGTGCGACATGAGAAATAATCGGCCAAGTATTGGGTTGGGGGTGAGGGAGGGTGAAGAAAAGCCTCACGTTGGAAAAGGGAAAAGAGTGGATAATTTCTGTGTCTAAAGTGACAAACGGTTCCGGAAAAAAGCAGGGCTTGTTATACAACTCCACAGTGAAATTATTAGAAGAAGTCGCGGCCAACTCGAGGGTACTTCTATTTTTGGAAAGAAATTGGGTTAATTGCTAGTTCGGCTAACTCTCGGCAACGCTATCTCCCATTTCCAACCTTATAAATTTAACCAATACCATGACCTCTTGTGCACACATACCTTTTTGTAGTATGGTACTACTTTAAATAGAATTGTAGAAAAATCCTAGTATGAATAAAAAAAACTATATTTTTCACTCGACAATCTAATATACAGTAAGTGAGTTGAACTTTTTTTCATCTTAAAATATGTCTTCATCGGATACCTTCTCCGTACACCAAGTCATAGTAGTTATCTGCAAGCTTATACATTTCATTAGTTGCGTGCTACTGATGTTACCCGTTGACGACCACGAGGCCCAACGACGGCACATAGCCTCTCAGTCGCGGGTGATCGGGTGCTCCACTGTAGGACCAAGAATGTGTTTTCCAGGCTCATCATCCACTTTCATGTTTGTTGAGGTGGCAGTTAGGTTTACAACCTCCTGAGTGGTTTTGACGCGCAACGGTCCTGATGTCGTTCAGTTCCACCTCAACGAAGAGAAAAACGAAGATATTTGTAGGCGTGTACTACTATTGCTAACAAATTAATTTTGTACACTTTTTGTAACAATGTTCGCTCCCTCCCACCTCGATAGAGTCTAGTGATGTTTGTTTGAGGTTGGAAGGGCTTGTAGGTGTGATCTGGCGGCGAGCCCTTTAAACTCAATTCGTGGACATGATAACCAATTTCCAATGGTCGCATTACGTGTTGTAGCGTGAGGTTGCTTGAAACTTACCACTGTTCAGAACATTCCCTGTAGATTACAAGCCTTATTATCTTGTTCATAGAGAAATCAGACATTTATTGCAGTTCTACATGCACCACATGATGAAATTGCGGTGTCCAGATGTAATGAACCGTGCTATAGAAACTATTTGCGCATGTTTATTGTTGGAACCTCAGGAAACGCTCATCACTGCGTGTGTTGTATGTTACATGTACATGTTACCATCTGCTTGCCGGAAGAATTCATTGGCGTGTTGATAGTATATGTTCAATTTAGTTAATGGTTGACTTTATGATGGACAAAAAAGGTCAAGTACAGTTTGAGGTGCCTTATGTGATCCCTTTGGTCAAACTGCTCACTCAGGTACTTTTGATTTTGAATTGGCTAGCTCTTTTTTGCACAGTATGAAAGTTTACAGGTGATGCTTATGTCCGTATGGATTATTGATAGGGAATATAAGAGAGTCAATAATTGGAGAAATAGCGAGCCAAAGCAAAAAAGAGCTAGGATGTCTGGGGAAGCTCAAAGTAGGTTTCTTTTGCTTAATGTTAATCTTTATCATCTCATACATAATCGCTTTGGAGTTCATCCGTCCATACGAATATTGCAAGAAACAGTGGAAGTTGCAATCAACAAATTTGTTAAGGAATCTAGTCAAGGTAGGTCTAATGCGTGGATTTGCTCATGTGGAAGATACATCTAGATCTTTATTTTTGGCTTTCATTCAGGGTCGCTCCATCAACCCATCAGTTCCGTATGCCATATAGTTCGAATGATTGCTAGCGCTCCTGAAAGTGAAGCAAAACAACTGCTCCTCCCATATCTCAAACACTTGTTGGTCAGTATCGCAGCTACATTCAGACTTTGCGTCGGTACGTTGCCGGCAGCTGACATTCATTGGGCATGTACGAGCTGTCACAATCATGCTGTCGCTGTCGTGGATGTGTAGGGTGGGCCAATATTATGAATACAGCGCGCGGGCGCGCAAAACGATTTTTTCTGAGTTTTCGAAATTTGGTCGGTTTTCTGCAGTTAATTAGGTAGGTTACATTATACCCTTCCCAACAACACCAAAAATTCGGTTGATTTAAGAAAAGAAAACATCGTGAAACAATCATTACTCTGCATCTACAAGGACTTTTGATCTGCGACATTTCTAGACGACTTAATGTACAAGGCAACTGGTATATGCGACGATAGGACGCTTTAGATAGGTGGAAATATCGGCAGATCAAGGGTAGAGGTAGGAAGCCTTCGGTAACTTCTAGAAGGAATTTCAAGAAAGTGGGCGAGAGGCTGCGTCGCAGAGGAGTTATGCGCAAAATGTCTGAAGAATTAGATATTTCATGAAGTTCCCTGCGCACAATCGTGAAAGATCACATGCACGACAGAGCCTCCATAATATCCAGAGGTCATTAACTGAGTAAGCAAGCTAAACCGAAGAGGAAACACCGCTCACAACAGTTGCTCCACCGGTTTCAGGAGATCGTCACAGGGAAATTCCATTCACTGACGAAAAGGTATTTACGGTGAATCAAGTGTCAGTACAGAATAACAGGGTTTATGCAAAGTCGAAACCAAAGGAAGTGATACAGCGTAGAGCACACCCACATTTTTGATGGTTTTTGCGGGAATAAACGCCGAAACGGAAACACCACTGTATTCGTACCTCATGGAGTAAAATTTAATGGAGAAGCTTCTTTGAGAATCTTGAAGGACCAAATTTCGCAGTGGATGAGAGAACATTTTGGCCATTCGAAATGGACATTTGAGCAAGACAGAGCTCCTGGCTACAAATCAAGAATTGTTCCAGAATTTTGTAGAGGAGCGTTTCCCGGCTTCGTAGCTATCGGTGAGTGGCCTCCTAGCATCCCGGACCTGAATCCAATGAATTTTTTCCGTGCGGTCAACGCTGGAAGCGAAAGCATGCGCTAAACCCAGATAAAAACTTGGACAGTCTCAAGAAGGCGTTGCAAAAAGCCTGGGATGAACTTGACGCACACTACCTGCGTGCCAAGATCGATGCTTTCCCTCGTCGTCTCCAATTTTGCGTGGAAGGCGACAGATTCCAGTTTTGACGTAGTATTGAAATAAGAAATTAGTGATGAACTGTTTTTGAAGTCACCTTGTTTCATTAGTTTAATATTCGTTTTTGACGATGTGTTGTCAATGTAATCATGATTTGGCTCACCCTGTAGAGTGGTCGACGAAAGTTTGCCAACGCAAAGTTTGAATGCAGGGAGCTTACCCTACTGCTTTCCATGTTTTTTTTTTTGGAGTTCCTTCAAGCTTACTTGTAATCCAATAATAATATCCAGAAAAATTGCAGTTCTTTCAACTCGCTCGGCTGGAGCCAGGTTCCATATCTTTCGAGCTTTTTTCCACGTTTTGCGATCCCGCAAATGAAGATCATGATTTGGAGAAGCTAAAATTCCTTTGCTTGTTGCGAAAGTCTGGTGGGTTATAGAATCATCGGAGTTTCTTCAAAGTGGCGGTCCTCAAAATATATTTGTCTGTTGTAACAGCTTGAGATCGTCATGATAGAATAGAGTTGTCGATAGAATTTGTGTTTTTTGAACATCCTGAACAGTACGGGTCCGCAAGTTTCACATATTTCTTGTAATCATGTACATATATATTCCGTGTTCGATCTCCTTTGATCTCATAAACATGTTGTCTAATGACTGTGTAGAGATTTTGCTTGCGAACTGAGGTTTTATAACAGTGTAAGTCTATCCTGCGGAACAATCCTTCCTGGTCTTCACAACCTTCACTGATAAAGTCAGCAAGAGTTTCATGTCTTCTAGAAAGATAACACACTGTCTTATAAGGAAGTTCTTTCCTCTTGAAATTCGAAGCAGTTTAATGGCAGAAAACGTAGTTCAAAACGTAACAGCTAATATTCATACGCGCTATCACAATGCTTCCTCTACCGTCTTCTCCTTCTATTTATTATATTACTCCCAGTCTTAGGCCAGGCGCAGCCCATATCCTGTAAAAATTGGAATTGTAGGAATAATTTCCATAGCATAGCGAAAGAATACACTCTGTATTTCAATAGAAGCATAACATCTCCAACCTATCTAAGGCAAAACAGTTTCACGTTGGGCACCTTAGACTGCCCCCACTGCATTAGCGATTTTGCGCGGAGTTGCACCACAATACCGGCTCGCAATTCCCATGACAAACAGCGCAACAAAGAAGACGAGCCAAATTCAAGTCTGCGGGTAGCAAACCTTTTGAAGTAACCAGTTAGTTCATCTCACACTAAGCAACCTGAAGCCATCTTCGTATGTGGCAATTACTTTAACACTCTTAACTTTGACCACAGCATGTACACTAAGCTGGCAACGTACGCACCTTTGCTATATCACTGATCCCATCTGTGAGACAGCAGTAGTTGCACACTTGAATACGAACAAGATTTCTTGGTCAACAGACATAAGAAGGACGCCTGTGTCTAATTACGACATCGAAATCGAGCAGATGCCAACTATTCAGCACTTTTCCGATTCATAAAGCCCAGATCTGTGGCGACCGCGGTTTGAAAAGCTGTAAATCTCAGTTTCAACTAATCGGACGGAGCGATATGGCGAATAGGGTGGATGTGACAGCATTTCCCATCCAAGTTCGGCAATTTTCTGACGGACAATTTCGCAACATGCGGTCGAGCGTTGTTGTAAAGAAGACTTTTTGGCCAGACTTTGTAGCAAAGGGGCGGGAATCTCGTCGGTTACAGTGGAACTTTAAGGTAGTGAACTCTGAGGAAGTAATTCAAAGCAGAACACTCATTGAGTATCCCTTCAACAACGCAACAAAACCTTCCTCGGATGTAGTCCATTCTCTGCTGTCTTGAAGTTGTTTCGTTACGATGCACCGTGGGTTAAGGTACAATGTCTCTTGTGAGTGCATTACAGCCGTCGAAAGATTATGCCCTCCAGAAATGCGTAATAGATGATGGCTCTGAAAAGTTTCGGTCAACAGTTGAATAGACGATGGCTCTGAAAAGATTCGGTCAGCAGTTGAATGTTGAAGTCATAATTGGTAAACCAGAGGCATGCTTAGGTATCCACTTAAAGTACAGGTTGGGGAACGGTCTGCTATACCCTGTTACGAAATCCTTCCGAGTGACCTCCTAAGAGAATCTAGGAAAGGATAACAAGTCGATCAAACTTTTTACTTAACTTAATATATCACGAAAAAAGGTGCGTATCCATGGAATTATGCTTCACGCACAATCGCACAACAGTGAAACACAGCGAAACTATACCCGAATTGTCTGAGGCAGAAGTCCTGCCTAATTATTCAGTATGCGTCTCATCCTATGAAGGTATAGCGCGTGGTTGCTTCCCGCTGCTACCATTTCCGTCCTGCTTGCTTTAGTTTTATAAGTTCCACGTACTAATGATGTAGCTGCTCAATGATTTCTCAACTCCATGTTTTCGCATGCTCATCATGAAACTGAGAATCCTCTTGAGATTTCAGTACTCTAAACAGGCCAAATAACGAACGCTCCTCTACAAATTCACCCCTAAGTACAATCGCAAGCTCAATGATGGGGCGTTAAACGATTCTCATTCAACTTATATATACAACTCTCTTCATAGACCTTTCGCTTTGTCGAATACGCATATGATATTGAATGATCAATTCAAAGCACCAGTTGAATGTTCCAGTGCAATGGTTGCATATTTCAGCGCAGGTCAAAACATCATTACCTGTGCATGCAATGCAGATGTTTTCGAAGCATGGCGCAGGGAATGAATTCACAGTGCAAGCGTCAATCATTAAAAAACCTCACTTCAACATAATCGCAGCACGTGCGATTGTGGCTGTCGCACACGATACTGAAATCACAATACTAAATGAATTTTATAAGCGATTGACAACAATGACAGAACTATTGGTTGATTCGCTTTGTTTCTTGCGTACCGCCGTAGCGATTTGCTAATATTGTCAGCAAGCTTGGAAAACAACGATATATTGCTAGCGATATACGGTACTCCAAAAACGTGAAGTCCTTGATCGCATAGGCCTGTTAAAGGCTCACCTCAAAACGGAAGCAATGTCATAAAACCGAAGTACAATTGAGTACGAAAAACGACATCTGCTCGTTTCGTTGTGCAGGAAAACGCCAGAGAAATACTGTGAATGGTACCCTGCTCCACCACAGTTCATTACCGGACGAAGAAGTCTTCAACAACGACGTGAGCAACCCTTGCGCTAACAAAACTAGCACTCCCCTTCTTTGAAACCGAAACAGTTGAAAGAGAATTCAATGTTTGTTACCGAGAAAAACTGACCTTACTATTTTTTGAAAAAAAAAGTAGCTCAAGGATATATCAGAATCGAACCAACAACGTTCATTATGTGTAGTACCTTACTCTATAATTGAATCATATAATGTCGTGTTATAATCATATTATAGCAAAATCTAAACTAAAGCCGCTATTTACGGTAGAATGGGAAGGTTATAAAACATAATGTTATCCTGAGCCGCTTCATGGCTCATCGCGTGTAGTCGTTATTAGTTTTAGGGAAAAGAAGATTCAGTGCCGATATGCATTCGCCGGCTTGAACTAGCCTGGCGCAGTCAAGAGCAGCTACACAAGCCCGATCACAGTAAGAGGTTACATTAATCGAGTGCGCCGTTCAGGAAATCTCAAAAAAGTGCTCCAGATAGCACAACATTTGCACTGAGCACTGGTTACATCACTAAAAAATGTTAGGCGTTTGTGAAAATAAGTGGCCGATCAAATCTAAAGTGAATAGTGAATACCCATTTTGAACGTGGATTTTACAGATTCTTACAAATCAAAAAAACAACTTTATCTGCTTAAAAATTCATAATTCGCCGAGAAGGTCCAGAAACAAAACATCACTGAACTAAAAAACATAGATAACACTCAATCCTCAAAAAGCACTTACACGTCTATGTATAAATGAGAA